GCGCAGCAGCCGCTGGAGGGGGACGGCGGCGGGCCCGCCAGCGACGACGCGGGTAGCGCACACAGCAACGCCGCGGCGAAATCTGGGGGCAGCGGCGCCGCGGCCGAGCCTCCTTCGGCGGCGCCTCCGCCGCCCAAGCCGGCGAACGTCGCAAGCCAGGACGCCGCTGGCGGGGGCGCTGGCGCTGCGGAGGAGGCGGATGCGGCGGCGGCGGCCCAGTCGGCGGCGCTGGCGGGTGCGGCGACTGACCCTTTCGAGCAGCTGGCGCAGCTGCCCATGAGCTCGCAGCAGGTGGCGGAAGAAGCGGCCGCCGCCGAGGCCGCGGCGCAGGCGGCGAAGGCCTCCCTCGCGGACGCTGCAGAGGGTCGCGCAGCGGCAGGCGGCGCGGCGGGCCGGGCCCAGGAGGAGCCGGACGAGGGGCAGCCGCAGGAGGGTGCGGCCCCCGGTGAGCGAGCGGGGGTGCGGGAGCCAGTCTGACGCGGCAAGGTAAGTGAGAGGTTATGTAACGCCACCCGCTCCAGCATTACCGGACGCGGCGTCTGGCACTCACAGGCTCGCCTCATCTCTCCTTTGCTTCCTCGCGTCCTCGCACCTGCCAAACCACCAGGCGACGGCGACGACGGCCCCTTGGACGAGGGAGCCGCGACGCATCCGCCCGCCCCAGCGGCCCCGCGCGTCCCTGCGCCCCCGCCTGCCCCTGCGCCTCCGCCCGTCCCAGCGGCTCTGCCTGCTGCCGCGCAGCCGCTGCAGGGCGGAACCGCCGGAACTGCCCAAGAGCAGCAGTTCGACATTTTTGGGCAGCGGGATGGAGACCAGCAGCAGCAGCAGGAGCAGCAGCAGGAGCAGCAGCAGGAGCAGCAGCAAGATCAGCAGAAGGAGCAGCAGAAAGAGCAGGGCGATGACGGGTCAAACAACAACGACCTTTTGCAGCAGATCGCACAGTATGATCAGCGGCAGGAGCCAGGCGGCAAGGCTGTGCCTGAGGAACAGGAAACTCAACCCGGCCAGGGACAGGAGCAGCAACAGCAGCAGGGGCAGCAGAAGGAGCAGCCGTTGCACCCCAGAATGGCTGATGATTTGCCACAGGTACAGCAGCAGGAGCAGCGGCAGGAGCAGCAGCAGGAGCAGCAGCAGCAGGAACAGCAGAAATCTGACGACGTCCAGGCCTTGGCCACTCCAGACCTGGGGGCACTGCAGCAGGCGAACGGCAGCGAGCTGGGGCAGGATGGCGCAGGCGCGCCCGCAGATAGGCCGGAAGGCCCGGAAAGCGGCGGCGCCGCTGACCCAGGCGGCCGGCGCGGCGACGGAAGCACCGTCGGTGGATCTACGGGCGCGGCAGCTGCCGAGAAGCTTGCGTCCCGAGGCGCAGAGGGCGCCGCCGCGGATGACGGCGTCGCCGGCGCGCTGCAGCGCGGGCCGGGGGGCGGCACGGCGCGCGCGGCCAAGTACGTGGGCCTGCTGCTGTTTGTTGTGGTCGTTTGCGGCGCAGCGGCGATGCTTGGGGCGGGCCACCTTGCGTCTCTTGGCCGCCAGCTGGCGGCGTGGCGCGCCGGCGGCGCCTACAGCCTGCTGGGCAGCGGGGCCGGCGGCGGCTCCAGGCGCGGCGGGGACAGCGGCGGCGGCGGCGGCGGGCTTGGCGGGCGTTTTGGCGGTTCGGGCGTGCGTGGCGGCGGGCGCGCTGGCGGAGGAGGGTTCACCGGCCAAAGCGGCGGCAGCGGCGGCGGCGGCGGCGGCGGCGATGGCGGTGGCGGCGGCGGCGGCGGCGGCAAGCGGGACGATTGGGATAGCTGGTGAGAGGGTGGCGCCCGGTTGGCTTTAAGCGGTGGTGGCACCCACGCCGTTGCGCGTTGAACCTTGGAAGGCAGCTGATTTTGCAGGCGCATGTGAGTATGGCGCGAGCGCCCTTTTCAAAGGGCTGCCTTCTTGCTTTCTCGCGCACGGTTTAAATTACGCTGTGCGAGTGCCATGCAAAGTGCGGGCAGCGGCTGGCGTCGCAAGCCCGTGGTGTTCACAGCCATCCCTGTATGTTTCTTCACCCAGGAGCGAGGACGACGAATGGGACGACCCCGAGCTAGGGCGCGCCGGCGGCGACAGAGGCGGCGCGCGCATGCGCCGCGACTCGTCCGCGTCGCCCTCTGCGGCCGCCACCAGCCCGCGGCCGCGCGCTTGGGGGGCCGGCCGGTTGGCGGGCGCGAAGGCGGGCCCGGGTGGGGGTGCGGGTGGGGCGGGGCAGGGCGCTGCCGGCGGCGGAGGAGGAGGAGGGGCAGGAGTAGGCAGGGGTGGTCCGATGGCTCTGGGGCGTCAGGGGCTGCAGGCACTGAAACTGCCGCCGCAGCCAGGCCCGTGGTGACCGCCTTGAATGTAATAAGACTGTAAAAATGCATTCAAACAGCAGGTTTGAGTGACAGTACATTGCTGCCAGGACTTGAAAATGGATGCTGCCAGGATTACAAGTTGTGACGCAGCGGTCGCTGTTATGGGAGAGATCTGAAAACGCTGCCCTTGCTGTGCTTATGTCTCATAAGATTTCAGTGAGGGGCGTCAAAACGGTGCCTGTCGAGGATCATATGTTCCACCAGTGCAGCGAGTTGGCCAGGCGCACGAGCGCCGACTTCCTGAGACAGCTCCGACCTCGAGCCGCTGTGGCACTCGAGCAGGTTTGCGGGCTACAGGTGCGAGTGTGATGTCGAGCCATCAACACCTTTCGTGAGCACGAAGGATGGTATATGTTACAAGTACGTATATTATATCTGGACGAGGGAGATTGCGCGTCGCTCCACGAGCGCCGCGCCAAACGTTATGACTGCGTGCGGCAGCTTGTGGCTGGGCTTGGTGCTCGCAGTCTGGTTCACGCATGTTCTTGATTTGGCCGGTAAGAACTGCAACTGCAGGCACCCATCATGTTGTCTAACGCGGCATGCCTTTGCCGGCAGGGTGACATCGATGCTGCGCTTCAAAGCGTCTGGCTCGAGTCAGTGGAGCACAAATTTTCAAAATTGAAGCACTAAGTAGTACATACACCGCACTCATGCCCCGGCAGGTGCCGAACGCGACTGCAGCTGGGGCTGCGCATTGACGCACGCGCCAGTGTGCGCCGCGAGCGGGGTGACTTTCCAGAACGCGTGCCTGGCAGAGTGCAGCGGCGCGACCATCGCGTACAATGGCGCCTGCGGATCCCCTCGAACCGGGACCGCGCGCGCGGCGCGCGACATCGGCGGCGCGCTCGACGCACACCCGATCGGCAGTGAGCGGCACGCAGCGCAGGGCTGATTGGTTGCCCGCCTGAGCACACGCGTGCGCATGCGCGCGTGCATGTTGCTGCATGTGCGTGCGCTTGCCTCGAATCGCCGCCCATTGAGCAACCCGCCGCCCCACGCGGCGCCAACCCCTTCTTCCAGGACTCTTTGCGAATGTCAACTCCAAAGCGACCGACAACGAGGCCGGCGCTGCCACCGCCGCGCCCGCCGCCGCGCCCGCCGCCGCGGCCGCAGCGGGCGGCGCGGAGCCCACCGGCGGGAGCTTTGGCACGATGCGCGTGGCCACGCAGGCGCAGCTCACAATGTTCGCATCCGAGGGTTACGTGCTCGTGGGCGCCGCGGCGCTCGCGCACGCGCCGCGCCAGCAGGCCGGCAAGCCCGAGGACAGCCCGGACGCCAGGTCAGCGCGTGCGAACGTGCCCCGCCTGCACGGCACGGCGATCCCGCGCGGACGCCACCTACTGCGCTCGGGGTTCGGTGACGTTTCGGCTGTCGGGCGCGGTTGGAGGCTTCCCCGCACCGGCCGGCGCCGAACTGCGCACGAAAGCCCCCTCAAGCCGAGTCGACGCACCCACGCTCACAACGCACTGCCAATCGCGGCCGTCCCCGCCTTGAGTCGAAACCACCGGCTCTCTGCCTCCACCCTCGTCCCTCCTCGCAGCGCCCTGGAGGCAGCGACGTCAACCAATGCTCTCATCCAGATCTTCGACATGCGCATCGTCCCCAGGACGGGCCTGCTTTACGTAGGCAGCGCCCCGCTGACCGGCGGCGCGGCAGACCTACAATCAAGCCCCGCCCGCGCCTCCCCCGGCCGCCGCGCTCCGCCGCCGCCCGCCGCCGCCGCCGAGCCCGCCGTGGCGGGCGGGGG